TTCTGCTGTTAATTTCTTCTGCCTCTTTTTGTGCACACTTCTTACAGCAAATTTGAAGTCACAAAACCATCTATGTATGATGTTTATTTAGCTCTGCAAGCCAAAACAGATGTTTATTTGTATTTTGAAACTGAAAATCAAGAAGAAAAACTATTAAGGCAGCTGCTACATTCTTCCTGTAACAAGATCAGCCCCAGATGGCGAAGTTTTAGACCATCACCCCCTTATCACCTTCTCGTTGCATAACTTGTTGTTTAGGAGCACAGGAATTACGTAATATCCTCCTCTTCTATATACTGTGGAAAAAGCCAGATCTTTTCAAGTCATCTTCACTTTCTCTTCTTCACTTTCTCCACATACTTCGCTACTTACCAAAGACCATAACGAGATCTTGACAGCACTTCAAGGGAAAAATCTTCTACTGACATTAGTAATGAAGGATGAAGAAATGGGTATTTTTATTAAAAAAAATGACAAACACACTTCCAGAAGAAACACGAATAGCATTCTCCTGGCTCTCGTATTTAACCTCTATGCATCTCAGATGTTTGCTCTGAAATTACATTACTTAACAATCTTTAAGTCACAAAGCACAACATGAGAGTACTGGGTAAGAACACACTGGGCAAGAACTGTGGTGTTCATTGGGAATTCAGAAACATTCCGCAGGAGTATACTTCTCCCTTAAACACATTCTAAATCCACACATGTGTTTCTAAGAATACATACTTAAGCTAATCTCACAGAAAGCTTTACTAGAACACAGATTATATATATATATATATATTTACATCTCAGTGAGGTTGAAATGAAAATACAAATTAATAATCAAAATTCTGGCATACTTTGATCTGTACATTGCCTGTCAGTATTTTATGCCTGATCAAAACCACACTTCCAGACAGGTGGATGAGGATTGACGGTGCTGATGAACCAATAACCAGTCAGAACTGCAGCCTTACCTGCAAGAATATATCTACACACAATGCTAGCTAAAGCAGCCTCTTCTTAGGTGTGGAGCAAATATAGAATTGGGAAAGCTCTGATTAGCTTCCCAGAGTGGTTGCAACCTAGAAATAAAGTAAGAATCAGTAGGACCACAGTTCTCAAATGCTATTGCTTTCTGTGCAACCTGCAAATGTCACTGCCCTCCTGAGCCTGTCACATTATTGCGTATAACCTCAGTGAAATACAGCAATGACAGCTGCAGTCAAGCCCTGAATCCCATCAGCTCGCCCATGTTTATACAAGGGTTGTGCCCTGTATTTGGGCCCTATATGCCTACAATGCGGGCTAGGGCAGTATTTGCTTCCTAACTTGTGCGAGCGGCACAGGGAGGGCTGCCTGGAGAGACGAGCCACGCTGAGGAAGGAGAGCAGGGAAGGGCCTGCAGTCTGGCACCCGCGCAGCACGAGCACCCGCGGCGAACACAACACACCTTCTCTCAATGCAGCCACACAGGGGGTGACAGCAGCAGAGCCCACGTGCACCATGTGCCTGTGAACTCCAGGCACCCTTCAGCCCCATGATAGGAGAGGGAAGCTGCTTTGGGCCTTTTGTTTTCTTGTAGGTATAATGTTATTCATTATTAGTTTAATTAGTGTCTAGTAAACCATGCCTCTTACTCTGCTGGCAGGGAGAAATTGAGCACCCAAATAAAGCATCTGCTACTACAGATACACAACAAATCATTCTAATACATTGTCAAACAACGTCATGACGTTGTTTAGTGCAAGTCTAGGTGATGCTCTGACAAATGCCCTCACATGCTGCCACAGCAGAACTTAACCCACATGTGCTCCTCCTGTAGGACTTTGTCTTCTCACACTGTCAACACAAGTAACAAGTGTTTTTCAGAGCTTGATAGACCTGCTCCTAGGTCAGACAGCAAGAAAAGCATACATGGGGGGCACACCAAGAAAGATCCTTTTAGAAAGAGCTTACCAACACCAAAGGAGGAATTTCAAAGGTTGCCCCTTCCAGCTCTTTCTTTTGTTTGCAGTTGCATTGACACAGCAGCATGCTCTAGAGTGGGCATTCAGTAGTGATCAAGGCTAAATGGAAACGTTTTCACTGGGCATTCAAACTGATGTGGAGACAGCCCTACAATATCACACAACCAACCAGAAATTTAAATCGGTAAAATTATAGAAATGAAAGAAGCTTTCAGGAGGAATTTTTCCTCCTGTGGCTATCATTTCAAGGACACAACTGAAAAACACAGAGGTGAATGTCAGAGCCAGCAAGCAGCAGAAATATGCCTTGATGTCCTGAAACAAAATCCATTCGACTCTTAGTATCATGGCATCAGAGAAAGAAAGAGAGCACCTATGCCATAGCAGAGACATAACCACTGTTTTAAGATACCCAGGACAGCCATGTACCTACTGTTTTGGCCTGCCTAACTTACTACTGTGTGCTTTCCCAGGCATTTATTGCACTGTTTTCCACCTAAATTGCAGCAGCTTGGACTAACACAGTTTCACCTTCAGCATAACTTCTACTCCACAAAACGTCCTACAGCACATCAACACGGATTTTATGATGTAACCACAGAAACTGCAGACAATTTTCCATCATACCTCAAAAAAGGAACAGAGTTTAACAATGGAAATTTCAAAAGTGGAAGCCAGTACAGTGTAAACCCACATTTTGAAAATGCTTTTCACATCACCACAGTAGTAGTAGCCTTTCCTGTTTGGCAAGTTTAAAATAAAAGATCTTGGATGTAATCAGATGTTCTCATTAAATTTGCTTCCAAAATATTTCTCTCTACTTCCTTGAGCCTCTCAAGATATTAATGTTAAAAATACTACAATTAAAATGTACATAATAAAGTATTTTTGTGTTTTGCCCTCTCTCTATCCTTTAAGTTTTCTGTAAGTATAAGTTTCACACCTTTTAGAGCAGACAGGCATTAGCAGTTGTTCACTCAGAAAGATGAACTGTTTAAGTATAGTTCAACACTGAGCTCAGATAAGCACAGAATTATTTACACATGGGTGTCCAGTTCAAATATAAGCCATCAGACTCAAATCTGCTATGATCAGCTGAGATGAAAGCGGCATCTTCCAGCAGATGAGTACTCTTTCCATGAAGTCTATGGAAGATAATTTTTTGTAAGATAATTTTTCTCATCAAAATTTAAAGTCCTTTTGCCCAGCTCCAAAACTAAAGTTGAGCTTATTCTGCTGTTTGTGGAATTAATCCATAAAAAAGGTGTTTGTCCATCCTGCAAGAATTCTGCAAATAAAGAAATTGTATCTGCAGAATTTTCAAAAAAGTACCTTTCATAAAATATAAATATCAAGAAATCTCTTACCTAGAACTTCTCATGGAGTTGTTTCTGTTTCTCCAGAGACTGGCAACTCTATAAGGCATCTTCATATACACACACATAGGTTTTTCCTCCCTCCAATAAGGCAGTTGGCAGTTCTGAGTCACAGGAAGCATTCTGCTGCAGACCTATGCCACCTGGCTGTTCCGTCTCAGCAGGGTTAGGGGTTAGCAATCTGACTCTGAACACAGGTAATTTTATGACATAATTACTCTATTGTTAAAGTATCTGCTGCCTGGGCAATGCATTACCCTTTGCATGTTTGCTGTGAAGTGGAACATTTGGAAATGTCAGAATTTCAAAAGTGAAAGGCTTTAAAAAGTTTAAAGGCAGTAAAGCTTTTCACTTTTGAAGATCTGACAAAACTTTCCAGTTTTTATATGCTGACTTTAGACATCTGAGCTGTGCTCCAAACTTGTATCTTCAATTAGTGTAAGTTTTATGTTTTTACTCTGGTGCCTACTAATCTCAGCTTGCATATTTCACCTTTTGGAGCTTAAAATGGCTCTGTGTTTACAATAATTTTTATTTGTAGACTTTCAAGCTTCTTCACTGTATACATGAAAGGATGGAAAGGAGCAAGAGAGAAATAATTTCATGACCACGAGATTGTTCCACTGTAATTTAAAATTTTAAGAATATAGAAATTCAAAATATTTTATTTTGGATTCTACCAGGTTGGTTGGATTTTCTTTATCTGTAACTTTAAGCTCTTAAAGCTACAAAATATTAAAAGGACCACCCCCCAAGACACAACTCGGCAAACCACTCTTTTACCCAAATCAGTTCAAAATAGCTATTTAAGTTGCCAGATTATAGGGCTGATGGAAAAGGTTTTATTTTTTCTGTGTTTTATAAAGAAATAGTTTTTTTTTTTTTAGGAAAAATACTTTATTTTTCCAAAATATGTTTAGATAGATTGCAACAAGAACAAAGTACAGTACAAAAATGACTCACAGATTTCAATAGTCATAAACCACTAATCAAATACCCACCTTTTTGTTAAAGGTTCTGTTTGGGTCCAATATAATTTTTCATGTATATACATGAATGTATATTGGCTCCAATACACATTACAGAGGTAATGCCCACTGTACAGTAGCACTGGATAAAGTTTGTAAGACCATTATAACATAGTCTCTAGTGCTCACCGTATAAAATACCAGCTTTTGACATGGATTCACTTTACCACAAACACATTTCAGTGAGTCTAACCTGAAGTCTGGTACAGGTCACTTTACACTTCAGCAGTTCTGGATTAACTTTAGGGAGTTTGCCTTGTATCTGACAAAAGCTGGGTAAGCCTTTTTTATCCCAACACAAACCTTCAGTACCAATTAATCTGAACATCCATGCCCATTCGTGACAATTCCCTCTTTCCAGAATGGAGCAGCTGTACTAAATGTAATGGCACCAATTGAATATACTTTTCTTCCTCAAATCTAGTACAGCTTCTTTGCTACCTTTCAGTTACAACCAGCTGTAAACTGTAGCATGTGGCATGTCAAGCAAACCTGACAGGAGTATACAGAATCATCTGAAAACTGCAAGGAGATTTCTCCTGCCTGTCCTTGAAGACGTGGATAGAAGACACCAGTACAGGCCGTGATCTCTTCTGCAGCCTTCAATCATTAAAGGAAATTAAAAGGTAGGTAGTTTTTCTCCTCTGGAAAACTATAATTTAGCCAAATTGAACAGGAGTGAAACATTTGACAAATTCTATACACATACAGTGTATGAACCAGAAATTACTGTTCCAGCTTGTACTATAATTTCCATGCCAGTAATATCTCTGCAATTACCTGGAGAATTTCATGTTTCCATTGTGATCATTGTTTGCACTGCAAGTCTCGTTTTGGTCAAACCTGTTTCCCTTCTCTATCTAAACCTTTGAGAAAAAAAAGCTAAGAGTGAAGCCTGTAGATAGATACACATAATGACAAGTAGAGCACCCACTGCTTTTAAGGCTTGAGGGCACGGGAAGAGGGACACAGGAATGTAAGAGGCACCTGTGTCCTGTGTACTGGAGAACAGTGCAAGAAGTCCCAAGCCAGCTGAGACTCTGGCCAGCCATTCCATGCAGCACAATAGTGGCATTGTGTTTGTACACAATACAGGCCTAAACAGCCTGAAGGCAGCTGTATTGTTTACATGCAGCAAGCTTGGGTACCTTTGCACTGGGAGCATGGCTGGTTTTCCTGGTTCCAGAACAAGCACAGGGAAAGACAGGCTCTCACATTGTTATATCACATCTCTGCAATGTTTTCTGTCACTGCATTTCAGAAAGTCTGCAGATATTTTATCTTATTGTTTTACTCAGGTTGGAAAATCCAACGCCGACACACGTCATTAAGACTTTCGCCCCACCCTTGTGTTCCTCCTCCTCAGGGGACTTCGTTTCAATTTTAAACATGATCTGGAAGAAGCTCCTCAGGTGTCGCAGAAACTCAATTCTGAAGAACAGAAAACAACGGAGTATAAGAAACCAAACAGAAAGAGTACATTAACCATATCTTCTAGCATTGACTCCAGTGATGAACACGAGGTCTGGCTCTGTGAATTCATCGTACAAAGAACTGAGCCTACAGGCTCAAAAAGAAAAAAAAAAAAGTTCTCGCTTGCATAATGGAGGCGGCTAGTGAGCCCCTGCTAAAGCCTTGCTCTCCCCATATAAGCAGAGAGAAAAGGAACAACCTGTAACAGAGCAAGGCAAAACGGTGAGGGAGGAAGAAAGGGAGGAGAAAGAGGAGACATGGCCAAGTGAGGTCACCTACCCATGAGGCCAACTCTCCCTCTCAGACAGAAGAAACTGATCAACTCCTCCCCACTCCTGTTGTTTTAAGCAGAAATAGAGATATGCAAAAGGTTGGCCTTGGGGGCATGCTGTGAAAGGAGAGGTATCAGATCCTAAAGTATGTATTTGGTATGTGTTCAAACTCCAGTGCTAAGCTAGTGGTTCTTTAGACTCTCTTTCAGACTCAGGATTGTGCCTGTTCCCTTTCTTCATAAAAAGAACAATAACACTTTTCTTTCCTCATTATAGAATTAGAGGCATTAAGAAACTGAATAGACATAATGGTCCTAAACACAGACTGACTGGAGGGAGAGTGATAGAAAAATTAATGAGCAGTATAAAAAAAGGAGATGAAGAGAACATTTCTGCTGACCTTCCCAAAACAGGGAACAAACAATTACACTGAAAAGCTACAAAGAGAGTGCTGTTAATTGCGCATGACAGGATTCTGATGTTTGCTAGTCAGGGTCAGTAGTAAGTCTGGACACTCAAACTAAGGTTTAATCTCTTACAGCAATTGGCACACGCCCTTGTTAGATGAAGTCTGCCCTTTGAAGAAAGGGTATTTCACATCTGTTCCACACTCTTGTTTGACCGGCAACCTGCCTAAAGGCACTGCTGTGCAAGCTAAGAGCATGACAGTCACACTTACATCATGACGCTAAATTAAGAGAAAACACCCACAAAAACGGGAGCAGGGGGCTGAGGAGTAAGGCAGCCCCTACTGCGACATCACCAGGCCTCAGAAAGCCTCCCGGCAGCTCCTACTCCCAAAACTGTGGGATTCTGAGTATGGAGCGCACTGAAAGCCTTTGAAGCAGGAGCACACTGGGGAGAACCTCCTGTGACCATGAAAGCAGGAGCAGGAATTGCTACATACACCTTTCTACCCTACTCCTGGGTCAGTAACAAGCCCAACATAGACAGCACAGCTCACAGCTCTCAAAAGACCGGGCAGCTTAAGGACAGAATTAGAGCGTCTTATCCTCCACGAGTCCCCAGCTGCACAGTTGCTATAAAAGGCAAACGGGCACATGCTGGCACAAACACTTCCATAAAGCTGACAGGCAACAAGCCCCATACCAAGCTCCTTTCTAAGCTGGGCCCTTTCCCAGAGCTCTGGCTGCGTGACAAGACAGCAGGCCCAAAACAGCGGGAGCGGCGAGCGCTGAGCTGCAAGGACAGCACGCAACAAGCTGCACGGGTGCAAAGGCAGCCCGGGACACAGCCCCACAGGCTGCTCAGCAAACGCTGCAACGTGTCTCTGGGATCGAGTTCAACCTGCAGCTCCCTCTGTGCCTGTATGCTTCATCCTGCCTCCTCCTTTGGAGTGAAGGCAGGGCGAGGGGAGAGAAAATCAGCAGGGCTTTGCCACAGCCTCCAGATAAACCAGAAAGAGTGAGGGGAACGGGAGAGGAGAGGCGGCTGCCCACGGGCCCCGCAGGCAGCGTGCGGCTGGCTCTGCCCTGCAGATGCGAAAGGGCAGGTGGGAGCAGCTCCGCAAAAGGAGGAAAACGGTCCTGTGCGACAAGGTGAGCAGAGAGTCTGCACGAGCTGGAGGCCGACGAGGGCCGCGTGGAGTTTGGCATCCCAAACACCAGAGGCAGCACCAAACATGCGTAGCTAGAATGGCAGAGCAAAAGGTACAAATCAGTTTTGTTTCAACTACAATTTTAACTGTATGTTTGAGCAGCAACAAGGCAGAACTGAACACCTTTCCAGACCCATGGAGAGCAGAATGGGCCACATGAAGGATTTTCCTCAGGGCCTGACAGTTCCAAATTAAAAATCACTATACTACCAATGAAAGAAAGAATGAAAGAAAGACAAAAAGAAAGAAAGAAGCATTAAAAAGCCTGCTCACATCACTGCCCTCTTTTCCCAGTAGCCTGTTAAGTGACATAAAAAAGTACACGTCCACTTCACACATTTTAGCTTACTGTCAGGACGAAGCGACCAGCTCGCAAATCACCGCTGCCACAGGAGACCGCGGCGCTGCCCACGGGTTATTCACTTACGCTAAAAATAGCGCTCAGCACGGCGGAGCGCGGGGACACGGAGGTGGTGTGGGGCCGGGGCCGCAGTGTGGGGCCGGGGTGGCGGTGTGGG